AAAAAAAAGATCTAAAATAGGAAAAATTAGCAAACATTTCTAAATTTTCTTTTTACATTTTGCCTTATTGTTTATGGATTTTCTAAAGCATTTTATGAAAAATAAATATAAAAGATATTTATATATAGTTAAAAAAATGTGGAGGAGGTCAGTGGCCTACGTCATCATTTATAATTAAGCAGAGATATGCAAAAAAAGCCAAAAAAGCACTTTCAAATTTCATAATTGAACGTGTTATAACATGACATACACATTCATAACTCTCTGCTAGATTTTATGTCAAACAATAAAAATAAGCAAATGTTTAAATCCCGAGTCTTGGTTATAACATACAATGGTTAACTTACTTAGTTATAATAACTAAAATTATTGTGAATTTCAGCACTGTTAGCACACTATATGAGTAAGATCATACTACATTTTCAGAATTTTCTACCAAAAATTTAACATTTTATTCGATAAAAACTCCAAAAAAAACAAGATATTTTCCATATTTTTAAAGTTCTATTTTTAGCTCAAAATTGGTTACATTTTTTGAAATTTTAGTCAAATGTGTATTTGAATATTTTTGAAATTTGGTGAAAATTTCAAGCTTCTAATTTAATTACTTCAGAAGTTATGAATAGTATAAATTAGAGTTCTTAATACACGTGTTACGAATTCGCGTTTAACGTGAAGTAAACGTGTTTATCCAAAGTATTTATTCGTTTTTGTAATGATTAAATAAGAAATTTTGAGTTAAGTACTTGAATTTTTAAAAATAAAATATTATTTGTGCAGAATTAAAATGAGTGTAAACGTTTTTATTTTGGATTTGACACGTGACATGTGAATTCACATGTATTAAGAGCTCTAATATAAATTATAAAATTATTATAAGATTTTTACCTTTCATCCTCATTCATTTCAATAGCTGTAGATCCTGTCTCTGTATCGTATTTATCAAAATACTTTAAATGTTTATTTATTGCTGATGGTGAACCATTAAATGATATGATGGCATCACAAATATTGCAAATAATTTTCTTTTTCATTATTATATATTTTGCAAAACTGCCAAACCCAACTTTTTCTTTTTCGAGACATTTTTTTTATTTTGAAAAATGCAATACTTTTAAATATAATACAGTATAGTACGGGGATTGGTTTGATAAATCCAAAAAAATGCACGTACGATCGAAAAAAAATAAAATGTACCATCGACTATCTATTCTGTTTGATATTATATTGTATACGGCACCTATAATTCGTTCTTTTTTTTTTCATTGCATATATAAATAACTGCTATAAATAGATATTATTTTTATACAACTTTATACAACAATTTACTGTTTACTTTTATATTACAGTAAATTAATAGCTATAGGAATATAAAAACAGCATAGTTAACAAAACTTTTCAAATGCTTATCAATTTAATTATTCAATTATTATAATTTTTGTATAGTAGTATATCTTAAGTTCAAATCTAACAATGAAACTATGAATATATTACACGTCATCAATAATATCATAATTTTCTTTTTTTTTTTGGCCCTGAGGGTGGGTTTGAACGCCTCCTTCCCCCCATATGTACGCCACTGATCGTGATTACTTATTATTATCTGCGTAGCTATACACATAAAAGCTAACGAATAAGGCCACTATATCCGTTATCTGCTAGATTTAAATATAGGCTTTATAATAGTTTTTAACATGTTATTCGACATTATACTTGAATAAACTAATTATTGAAATATAATATCACTAATAACACTTACATAAAATACTAAAGATTTTATTTTTAAAACGTAATTTTGTTAATTTAAAAGAAGAAATATTTTAATATTTTTTATTCGAATAATTGTGTAATGTTTAATTTAATACTGATTACCTCTTAGCAGTTAAGACTTAGCTAAACCGTTTACGTATATAAAAAACCATCAGGTACCCGAAAATTTTGGGTGATGGGTATCCACTACCCGAAAACGTTGACTACCCACAAAAAATCAAGAGCACTACTATAAACCCGTATCGATCGTATAACCCGCTGGATATCGACCGAATGTCGTTTAAGATAATAGTCGATATAGTATAGTAGATTATTTATTTAGTTCAGTCTATTATTATCCGTCATTGTTTTTGCTAACCACGCAATGTGGAATCATACATAAAACGTCGTACGGGTATATTTTGTAAAATTGTGTAATGCTGAAAGTACAACAGTCTACGAGTAGCTGACTACAAAGTTTTATTTTGGAGTTTAAATATACATTTACATCCGACGGACACGTTTTATTTTGTGTACTATGTGGTTATTATTATTATTTTTTTAATGCATATAAATTGCATATTTTAATGATTTTAGAAGTATATTTGCATGCATATTTGTGTATTTTAGAGCTATAAGTCCCTAAGCCTTTCACCGGTTTCAATGATCATTGAAATTAGACCAAAATAAACGGTATTAATATTTTATTAATTTTTTTAGTATTTGGTTGGTGAACGTTTCTGTAAAATGTACTTGAAATGTCCTCCTAAATATGTTCTATATAAATGATAATGTTCCATTATTTTATTAGTGAGGTTGTTCGTCCAATAATACTGTATACAGGAGTTCTACGTTTAAAGCAGTGATGGGAATTATTCTAGTATTCGAATTTTCGAACATTCGAATATCAGTATTCGATGCTACAATACAATACGTAACGAAAATTATTCGTGTAAGTTTTCATGCAACATAAAACGTTTAATTATAATAGGTATTGTAGCATACAATATTGATATTCGAATATTCGAATTATTTACGGTGGAGCTATTCGAGTATGTATTACATCTCTTGTTTAAAGTATTTGGCCCGAAACGTAAAATTTTTTGTTACTTTAAACTGCAGGACTGCGAAACTGAGTATACGCAAGTATACATTGACATACACTAGCAGTCTCGTGTTTCATTTTTCGGGGTACATTTGCATGTATTAAAACGAAAGTGTTGGACCTTTGAGTAACCTTTTCTACATCGTCGATTGACTATTATGGGTGACTTCATTATCATATTTAATCCTTCTTGATGTTTTAAACGTGTTTTCTGTTATACAGATAATATTAATAAAACAAAAATCAATAAACACAATTGACTATTAATAAACTATCTCAGTGGCTACATCCGTAATTTATATAATAGCTACGTTTCGGCGAGGAACTAATAAACGAAAAATAGAGCTAAAAAAAATAAGTAAAATTGTATTCTATTAAGTTAAGTAAAGCATGTATTAATCTGTTAAAATAACGCTTCAAACATATAATATTATGTTAAATAGTGAAAAATATGTAAGTTACATCCTCAGGGGAGTGCCTAGAAATTTTTTTCGGGGGGGGGGGGGGGGTTCAATATTTTTACTAACACATACCTATTTTAATCATATAAGTGTATTTATTTTACTAGATAAAAGATATTAAAATATTAATATATATATATTTATTATAATTGGTCATATATATAATATTCATACAACATACATAAAAAAAAAATCACAGAACGAATCCCTGTCTTCGAGGTATTAAAGCAAACCTTCTCACCACTTCATTAGGATCAACGTTAATTTCTTTTTGAATTTAAAGAAAAGCTAACACAGTTAACTGATCTTCTCCAGTTGTGTTGCGCAAATATGTTTTGAGACGCCGTAAAGTAGAAAAGGTCCTTTCTGCAGTTGCCGTAGACACGGGTAAAGTTGCTAATATTTCCATCAGTTTTCTTATATTTGAGAAAAATCTTTCATCACATTCTAATAAAGACTCTACTGCATTTGTAGGTTTTTTTTCAATATTATCTTTTAGCCATTTTAATTTCCATGTGGAGAATTCTTCATTAAATACTGTAGAATCTGGCAATAAACTTTCATAAAAGATAATAGTATCTTTTGATAGATCTAGTGAATTTACATTAATATGACTGGGAATTAATTTTTTCTAATTCAGTTATTATTTGTTTATGTTTTATAAAACGGTCTGATAAATGAACAATGATATGGTCTAAAAATGAATTAAATATTGTGCGTCTGTATTACTCTTCAGGCGATTGTGAAGGAGTATTATCCCGGTTTATTTGTTTTTTTTTATGCAGTGAGGAATTGTCACTTCACTACCTACATCAATAAGTATTTGATTACATTTATCATATATTAATTTAAAATTGGAACCACTATTACTATCACGAAGGTTACTAAGAGCATCAATTATATTTTGAACATGATCACATGCAGCAGTTAAATCGGAATTCACAGTCTGTAAGTGATAACATAGTGGTAATGTATAAGCAAATACTTTTTCTATTATGCTTAAAGTAATAAAAAATTGGCCATTTAATATTACTGAAAGGAGTTGATAAGCTTTATTGGAAGTTTCGGTATTAATTGATTTTTGGAGATTTTCTAACACATGAATTATTGGAATGTACATTTCTTTAAAGCGATTAATAGCATCGTGTCTTAATATTCATCACGTTTCACACATCGATAACAGTACTGTATGTCTACTACTTGGAAAATGATTTATCACATGCTTTTTTAAAACATCAGTGTGTTGAGCTGATCCTCGAAAAAAATTACAAACTGACGATACACTACCCACAGTATTTCTGACAACAGTTATCTTACAAGCATCAGTGATTGCGAGATTAAGAGAATTCGCACTGCAATGGACAAATAATGCTTTGGATATTTTTTACGTATTAAAGCTTGAGCACCATTCAAATGACCACTCATAGAAGCCGCGCCATCATAACCTTGGCCAATTAAAAAGTCTAAGTTAATACCAATCGATTGTAAATTTTCAATTATAGTTGTCGCTAGACCTTGGACACTTAAATCAGAAACAACTACAAACTTTAAAAAAATCTTCCCGAATTAAAGGGTATGTCAAATCAGGATCAATGTAACGAATACATAGAGACATTTGTTTTTGTTTAGAGACGTCAGTAGTTTCATCTGCCATAACTGAAAATATCTTAGCCCGGTTAACTTTCTCAACTACTTTTTTCTGATATAATATCACTACAAATATTTATTAATTGATTTTGTATTTTAGCACATGTAAATTGAGCATTTAAACTCCCTTCAGTTAAATGTTTTTTTAAGATTTCATCTCCAGCTTTCACTCTAAATTTGAGTAGTTCACGAAATTCACCACCAGTTTCCCCTTCTTTATCTACATTTATATATCCTGAATCATTTTTCCCTCTTAAAGACATTTCTAATCGACCACAAAGAATAATTGTTTCAACTATTGAATATAGTTTTTTTCTATTTTCCGAAGCTTGACTGGCTTGTTCAGAGTTTAAAACTTCAATCACAGATTTTTGCTTTCGATAATTTACTGACAAAAAATATTCTGCGCGTTCTTTAGATAATTTATGATATTGGCAATTTTCATGATCATTAAATTTCTCTATCGCATTTTTCCATTTTTTAAATGGCTGTGACACAAAACTTTTTGTTTTTTCGTGACTACCTTTACCAGTATCAGAATTAGAAAACAGAACACAAAACTTACACAGAGCACCATTTTCTATTTTAGAATATACCAACCATGAAAATCTTTTTATCCAACTCATTTGAAAACGTAAATTTCGTTTATTAGTATTGTCTATAGGAAATACATATTCACTTTAGGGGACCCATGGAGATATAAGTAATTGTTCACGTTTCAAATCATTTAAAACTATATTTTTTTTCTCTTAAGTTTATATACGCACCAATGTCTTGAGAATCGAAATTTATTGACGTAGAAGCTACATTTTCATTTTCGACGCTTTCGATATTTCCTATGTTGTTAGTATCAGTCGTCTTAGGTAATTTATTTGTTCTTAATTGGAAAAAATCCGGTATTTTCCCTGACCTTTTCATCTTCTACAAATTATAATGGAATTTGTATTAATAAATAATAATCATAATAAATTAATATAATATATATTAATTTATTAGACAAAAATTAGTACAAAATATTAAACTTTCGTGGAAATATCGTATTATAAATCTTTTGATGTTGACGATGTTGTTCACTGTATATATTATAGTAGTTATCTTGGTCGAAATAAACCGTGTTTAATTATTTTACGTGGCTACATGGGACACATTTCATATCGAAAAAATCTTAGATAAAGTACAATAGTCGATATGTTATCGTACACGCGCTCCAGTCAATCACGCGTATTTATAGGTATACGGATTTCCTATACCTAAATCGCTCACATGACCCGAAATAATGATCTTGTTTCACGATAGCGATGTAAAAACACCACGTCCATGTAAACCAAACCTAATCAAGTTTCACATATAATATATAATATATTTTATAATATTATGTAAAACTTTTATTAACATTTATTTTTATTTTTCGGGGGGGGGGGGGTTTAAACACCCAAACCCCCCCTCCACCTAGGCACGCCCCTGTACATCCTTGACCCTGAATAAGCTGACCATTTCGATAATTTTTTACTGTTTATCTGAGTTAAAATGTAGTTTATTAACTGTGATAAATGTGCCCGTACAGTTTTTTGACACGAACTTGTATAATTATCTAATTACTGTAATAATAATTGTCGTACATAATATTCTCGTCTTTCTAGCGTATGGTGTCGTACATTATGAGTTGTATAATGATTTACACGTATTCAATATTTTTTAAGATGTTTCTGTTTACGGTTGTACACAAATTGTATGGTTTTACCATTATTTGTACGTACTTATAAAATCAATGTTTCCTAATCCATCATGCACATGATTTAAATTATTCAAAACGTCACGACGATTAGGAGTCTAAGAATATTACGATTATTGTTTATGAGTTTAGTATCTGATTTAGTTTATACTTATCATGACACGTACCTGTGTAAAAATTCAATGTTACATAAAAATGAACCATAGGTAATTTATCATAACTAGATTTCAGTAGCATGTTGCTAGAGTTATCCAAAAATTGTTATTTTTTTAATATTATTAAGTAAATTAATTTTTATCTGAAAAATAGTTTGACCGAGAATCTTAATAGTTATGTATAAAATCATTGTTAGACATATTATGAATGTGACACCCAAAACAGCACAATGCTATGAAATAATCTGATTAATCTAAGTATGTAGGTAATGAATATGGATTCATAATATGAATATGTCAACATTTTTAATAAAAATATTAAAATATCTAGATTTCAGGATAGAATAGTTTAACCTTTATTATTACGTCAGTCATCAATCATCACTCATAATTTAAAGATATTAATAAAACACGAATTGTATTATTTCATCAGTTATTTTGTGATTGTTATAGTGTAATAGTTTTGAGACGAGACAACACATTGATCAAACATGTACGAGACTGGACTCATCTTTCTTATCAAAAAATTATTATTTAAATTTTTATTTAATTTAATTTTTATATTTATTATTTTATTTATTTTTTTTTTTATTTTTTAAGTGGTTAATATTTCGATAAATAATATTTCACTAAAAAAAAAACTTTGAAATGTTAAGTACTATTTATTGTTGCTTTTAAACCCGTTATCTATCTAGGGTTGAAATAAAAATATATTTTTAGGAGATTGTCTTTCCTTTTTCACGTCTGATAATTTTGTTTGTAATATTCATGGAATAACTGTCATCGGATTTTGTTTTTATACAACAAATACTGCTATATTTTTACTGTTGTGATTTAAAGTTTAAAATTCTAAAAAAAAAAAAAAAAAATTGGATAAAATGCATTCTTACATGACGCAATTATTTAAATTATAAACTATATGATTAGAATTTCTTGAAAATTCTTTGAAATAATTTTAACGTAGTTTTATATAGGCTGGAATGTAACAATGTTGTATTTTGTTTTCAATAGAAGCACGGTTAAAAATGCGTGACTTAATTTGATATGTTTACATTTTTTTCAAGTTAGTAAGTAATATAATATTATTAATTATTCTTTATAATATTACTTATTGCAATCGTATGCTATTTACATGTTAGTATTTTTAATTATATTGTAGTTGTTGAATTATTTATACGGTTTAATTGTAAGTAAACGAAGAACTAAATAATTGAAAGATAATTGTACATAAATGGTAAATATTAGGTCAAACGCAAAAAATATTTATTACAATTATGCCGTATAATACAATTTTGAATTGTACAGCGTCAGTATTTGGAAAATAATTTTATGTAATGGTTAGTACACAATTATTAAACAATTAGCAAATAATAAATTGTCAAATCGGTAAGCATTTAAATTCTATAAATTACAATTTACATAAAATAAATTATCAAAATTACTACTACTATTTCTCTAGTTTATACAAATACAATTTTTATACAACTTATGCTTGACTTAATGATTTACTCCACTAGTTCTACTCGAAAATTTGGGCCAGAGAGTGAAATGTTCACGCCCCCCTCCCCATTATTTAGAAAAGCGTCTGAGTCGATCCAAAGAATAAGTATTTCCCAAAATTACATTTTATATTTATTGCATATAGTATTTACTTACTACATTTTTATTAAAATTTATTATTAAATTTATTATTATTAGTAAAATACGTAAAATTTAAAATAATATAAAATATAAAGTGAAATATTTTGGAGACATTTAATTATATAATAGAACCATGCATTTCCTATTTAATTATTTTAAAAGTAGAAATATGATTCTATGCATTGGAATTTGTGCGTATTAGCTATAACATAAGCTATATGTTATATCTCTGAGGTTTTTTTTTTTGTATGACATTATTTCAGAGTGATGGGTTCTGTTTATTTAAAAGTAAAAAAAAAAATAGTTAGGGGATTTAGTTATAATATTTAAAAAATACATCGTATTAGACTTAGAAGTAAATATGATTTACTAATAAATATTGAATATTAATTTTAATATTGTTTGTATTACTTACTTTAATCTATTTATGAATTAATAATAGTAGATATATAAAAAAAAGGTTGAAGATTTAAATAAAAGTTACTAGAAATTTAATATTCAATTACTATTGATCATAAAATGTACTGTACTAAATTAAATTAGTAAATAATAATAATTATTAATATAATCATACAATTTTTTTTTATGTATAGATAATCTGCAAATTATTTGAATAATTAGAATATAATGTTATTTAGTATCACTTAAACCGAATTAATCATCCAACAATTATAATATAATATTATGTTTTAATATTAATTAGTGATAATTGAATAATCAATAGTATCTATATATATATATATATATATATATATATATATATATATTATACTATTAATTACTTGTTAAGGGGTTGGGTGGTTATATAGTAATTTCTAACACGAAATAAATTAAACATAATATGACTGCGTTATGCGTAATAACTTATCGAACCCCGAGTATTATATATTATTATAACTTGTTTTGTATACGCAAATATTAAACTTGGTTTTCATTTTCTCTCTGTCAGTAGAAATATAATTGTTATAACAAAAGATATTAATTAACAACTTTCGTTTCTCATTAGTTGAGTGTTATATCGGTGAAGATACCGAAAAACGTGTGTATTATTTGAATTTGAATCGATTGGGTAATAGAATTATACTGTTGTGTAAATGTAAATTTATTACGCCTCGTAAATTGGTTTTTTTCAAACTTAAGACCATACTTATACATTAGAAAAATAAAATTCATAAAAAAAATTAATTATTGGATTTAACCCATATTAACTAAATAATGCGATATTTCAAGTATTGTTCTTAAAACTAGAAACTTATTATTATGAGCGTTTATGTCAAATAAGAGTAAATTACGGGTATGTTATGAACTTATGTAAATGGAAACAGTATTTAGTTTAATTTCACGCGAATGGTCGTATAAGTTATTGTCTCTTTTATTTTGTAAAAGTATACTAGTTTACGTGGTATACCATTTATGGAGGTAAAATTTGATGTGATCTCTTTTTTAATTTTTTTTAATTTTTCTAATCCAAATAATTCAATATGAAAAAAAAAAATCAATATTATATGTTTATTATTGCATAGTTATTATATTGAAGTCGCATTAGAAATATATTCATTGCGTTCAGCATCTAAAAGCCAGCGGATACCCCGTGTTTCGGCAATATCGATGTAATATGGAAATTTAATTATTTTTCTTATGATTAGTGTACGAATCCATTTGAATTGTAATGACAGGAAAAGTCTGCACAGTTGCACATAACAACACGTATAACAATCGTAGCGCAGTCGACGGAATCCGGAAATGGTTGCCGACTTCCGGCGGGCAACAGCTTAAAACGGCCATTTGTTGTATGTGGAAAGCCATTTCGGGTACAGCCTGTTGGGTTTCCCACGAAAAGCCTTCCCAGTATTGGATTCAAATCACTCGGTACATTAAATGCACACTGCACCTGTGGGGTCGTAACATTGATTTAGGATACTTTTACCCTATAACGCTGGAATTACGTATACAGTATACATTGAAAAAAAAATGATATAGCACCCGAAAAAAATCAATAATGGCTTACATATTTTTTATATGTCATTTGATTTGTACTTCATGACATTTTGTCAAGTCATATGACAGGTACCCATGTACATTTATTTTCTTTTATATT